ATTCGCCCCGCTGTCGCCAGGATAGTTGGTCGCCCGCGCTCTCCCCACGCGACCGACATCCCTGCTCAGGGAATGTCTCAGGACCGAATATGGTACCAGGAGGTCACTGCGCTTGCTGATGGATTGCGGGCCTGAGAACCATAATTCGAGCAGCTCGTGGTTTATGCGGTTGTCAGCTCTTGCGAGAATTTCGGCCTCTTGTAACTTGAAAATATGGCCGGGTCCCGTCGAATGAGCTGCTACCTGAGAGCTGTCATCTTTCCTCCTCACCGCTGCTGCGTGCCCAGCTATGCGCGTCCGGAATAATCTCCCAGTGTTTCCGACGTAGTTGCTTTACCCGCAACTGCACCAGATCCAGACGTCCCCTGCCGTGGCAGCGGGTCTTTCGGCCTCATGACTTGGCGTCTCATGATTGCTTCCGGCCTGTCCGCAACCCCAAGTCCAAGTGGAGTGAGAAGACGACTGACAGCTTCCGAGACGTTCCCCACGTACGGAAGAGCCTGCCAAAATTTGGGGCCGGTTGGATTTGGTCTCTGGTGGCGTTTTCGTGTGCACTGGTTGACAAAGTTGCATGGGTAGCCATTAGCTCTCAGTACCCGTCGAAGGTATTTTACTTCAGCAACCTTGTCTTCCGTTTCACTGCAATGCGTCTTAATGTGCCGGTATAGCGTTCTTACGCAAATGCATTTGTGACTTATCGGGTGGTTGCTGTTGAGGTTCAGTACTGGCGTCGTATTTGTCGCTTTTCTAAACACTTTGCTTTAAGCCACCACAATCTATATGGCAGACGAGGTCATCCAGAATGGCCAGCTGGTTGTTTTCTTCCTCCGTCATCGTAAATTGAATGTCTGAGAAGGCGGCATTGAGATGTTCTTTGACTGTCAGCACCTGATCCCGCTCGATGACGACGAAGGTGTTATCCGAGATTTGAATGAAAATCCGAAACGTCGGGCCAATAAATTTCTTGTTTCACTGATCACATCTTCATCTTCTGAACTGCTACCTCGAACTCGGCTTTTCGCTTCTATCGGTTGTGTTAGTGTTGGTGGAGGCTATGCCCCCCAAACGGGCTATATGATAGATGCACTGGACCAACACGTGAGCCATATCGGATTCTGGCGGGCGTTGTAGGATTGCGCACCATAACAAATGCCAGCATTTTGGGATGCGCTGGCGGACCCAGTTGTCGACAGACGTCGCGCACACTGGGACCCCCGCTATCCCCATTGTTGTTGTTAATCAGAAACCTGGTTATTTGCTGCGTGGACCAGGGGGTGTGGAGTGAAACGTCCGGGTGCGGGTTCGACCGTGCCATCCACCTGCGTCCTCCCTCCGCCTCTAGTCTTCTTGACGGTCTTTGTCGGCAAAAACATACTCCCTGACTCTGTCTTGATGCCGGGTCCAGGTGGGGGAGGAGGGGGGGGGGAGTGCGGTACATGCTGTGCAAGTCTACATTCGCTATAAACTAATTCACACACAAGTCACTGTCACTGTTTCACCTTGCTGTGGAGCACACGGTGAACATCGTCGGCAACGACAGTCGAACTATCCGGAGGTAGAGGCGGTTTTTGAGACGTGAGGAGGGAGTAGTGCGTCTCTGCCCAATGTGCTTGTCTACCTTCAGATGGACGATCTATATTGTTTTTTACTTTTGAATGACTAAAACCGGAAGCACAGACTGACGTTCAGCTCAATCCAAAGCGCCATAGCTCAGTTTGTTAGTCCTGGCTGTGATCATCTTTAAGGATTTCTCACCACAGAGTTCCAAGTTCCAGCCTATGTCATGTGAGACTACTTAGAGACTTCGTCTTCCAATCACAATAGGAATGCAAATTACGGCCCTCCTTCTGAGAAAGCGCAAAATCTTGAGTGAAGTGGCCGTTTTCCGCCGTTAAATTAGAGCAGGGGATGAGAAGCTACAATTCGAAATGTACCATCTAGACCGGAGATTTTGACTAATGGAAGGCCAGAGCTGACCTCCAGGTCGAGTCTCAATGGCCACAATTTAGAGGGACACACATTTAGGCCACCAGAATTGGTTGGGAAAAGCGAGAACGGAAAAAAGGGTTAGCCGGCAGGACAGTAGATAGTTAAGCGTTCAGCCTATCCTGATCCCCACAATACCGATGTGAGGTGGGCGGCAGAAGGTACAAAACTAGCAAGTCGCATCTATCTAATCTTCCTGCCAATTGTTATGTCGGCCTTGGTTGTAGTTGCCGATTACAGCAGTGGCGTACATTTTCCACTGTGGTGGCTTAAGCATTGAAAAGAGAGGGGTATACTCCAAGAGACCTGATGGGTGATTCATGATCCGCTATCCAGCCTTGTGATATCTAGCTTCCGGATCATTCAGTTGTCGTATCGACAACAAAGTCGAAGTCATGATTCCCCTTCAGGCTGAGGTGATTACTCTGAGACCCCGACGCTGAGCTTCACTTAGTTCGAGCTATATAATTTTACGGCGAGTCAGCGCACATAATTCGGCGGAACACGGCCGGCTACCAGCGTTCAGTAGGTCCTTAGTGAGATCGATTCGGTTGCGCATTATAACCACCTCCCGGTCTGTGACCCCCGAGGATGCTTTTGGTGGTCTCGGGTAAACTCCCTATGCATGACAATGCCTTCCATATTCGAGGTCCCGCTGCGCATCGCCAACGTGGAGTCACATAAACCTACTGATGAAGGATCGAGGACAGCCGTTCTCTATGAAATGTTCACTTCCGAGTTTTCCTACAGAGGTGACAATGCCTGCACTTTGCAAGCACTCGAGCAGCTGCCCTTTAGCATTATCGAGGGGCTACTGTAGGAACATAAGCTCACTTTGTGTCAGAGGACTTGTTGTATGCCGTTTTTCCGAGTTTTCTATCATGTCGGGAAGGGGATACCGTTCTGCCCCTTCTCCACAGTGAATTGGAGATCAGGAAATCATGGAAGGTGCGCACGACACCCATCTTGGTGTTCGCAGAAGTACGCGGGGCGAATATGGGTGTCAAATTTCCCAGCCAATTCCGTGCGCGACCCCCATTATCCGGCTTAATTAGGGGGCGCCTCATCCCATCCGCCGGGCAAATAACTAGCGGGTTAGTGTGCGAAGAGATCGCGGACCCAACAACAGCAGGGTGTTCGCAGAATTTGCACGGGAGGCAACGCGCGGTATCAGCGTCTCCCGAAAATGTTCTTTAGTACAACCCATGTGAGTCGCTAACGGCATCAATCAGAACTCCTAGTTGGCTAATTGTAAGAATGCCAGAAAAGTCTCCTTCGTTTTTGCACACTATTTTCATTTTCAGCCCAAAGTCACAAATATTTCTAAAACGCCACTATCGTCGGAGGGCATGCAAAATACGTAGACACAACTAGTTCGCTGTAGCGCGTCGCCGGCTTGTTTGTTGATTTAAAGGGATTTTAAATTTTTTTCTAGGACAACTGTTTGGAAGACGTCTAAATTAGAAAATCGGTCAATAAATGGAGTAGGCTACCTCGGGATTCCACAAAGGGAAAACTTTATTACTCCTCCCCATCTCTACGCAAGCCCTCTTGAGCCTAGTGCATTTTCGAGCCGACGAATCCATCATTCAAATCATCTAAGGCATAATCGACTAGATACAGGGTACACGCAGTCCTTCACCCAAATTACTGTTTACGATCCTGCTATCCTACGCCTCCGAACAGCTATTATACTGAAGGACGATCTGTATAAATACTGGAAGTTAAGCGTTCGGTAGCACCTATCTACAGAAACCAAGTGCTTACTGTCTTTCCCCCTCTCTGAGTCCCTGTTTGAACTAAACTGTAACCTCTGACCTCTGAACGTCCTCAACCCTCTCCCCCATACTTATTGTTTATTGGCTACCTAAACTGTTGCAATTGTACCCTTCCTTATATTACTGTACAGGCCTTTTGATGAATAATCGAGAGCGTACGTTTGACGGACTGAATTTCCTAAATGCCTACTCTTTTTAGCAGGCAATTTATCGGACGTATATGTCGTCGCTAGCCAGCTATAACCTAAGGACGGGATACTTAAAGTTAGGCAAAAATGACCAGTGGAGTTCAATCTTTGGGCTTTAGTACCGCCGGCTGGCAGCGACCAGTAGTCCGGCCCTCCCGGGTAATACTGTCGTTCATTAATTGCACGTGGCTCTGTGTCCGCCTGCAGATGCTCAGACTGAAGTCCCAGGGAGTGCCGGAAATCTGTATTTTACTCCGCCATCAGAATAGATAGGTGAGAAGCGATTTCATAAGAACCTCGCCAAAGTATGGTAACGCGCAGTAGGCGTGAGCTTTCAGCCAACAAGCGTCGTGAATGCTTCACGTGGATAGTTGAACCCGCCTAGCTCCACTTAATAGCATAGTTTGGACCGGGGTTCACATTGGGGAGTTATCACCTGGTCGCTTTTATATTGCCTCCCATGCCCGCGTCGGCAAACAGGGGAATGATACGTGCTCAGTAGGTGGCCTTAACCACGACTTCCAACCAACTTCTTCCCCCCTTTTTAAACAGCAACTTTAGCACCAATGAAAAAAATTGGGTTGAGGAGAGACGAACTCAAGACGTGTAGCAACAGCATCGTAGAGCTGCATGCCAAAATACACGATTAACAAAAATAAGAGCCCTTGATCAGGAATGACACTCAGATGAGGAAATGGGGACAAGTTAGGGTGATAGGGAAGCGGAAGGAGGAGAATAAAAGTAAAAAACAGTCACAAAGAACAGCAGAGAAAAATCCAGCACTAAAAATAACTTGTACTTGCAAGACAGGAGAAGGAAAAGAGCATTGTACACAGGTAGTTACAGAGTCCACACACGCGTGCTCTCTCCCCTCTCTTCGGCCACCGGCAGAAGCTGCCCGCGGGTGCGACAGATGGGAGGGAGAAGGAGCGCGGAGAAGGCCCGAGTAAAGAAAACGTCGACAGAACGATTTGGTTGTAGAGGAGACTACAGCAGTTGTCGAGAACGCACGCATCAAGTAGTCGAAAGACTGACGGTTATGTTTGGTCTACTTAACATAAGGATCACTCGCGAATGTGAATATTCCGAAGCAGATAAAGGTCACACCTCCGATAAAAGTCACTAGGAGAGAGAGAGAGAGAAAAAGCATGAAAGAGATTAAGTGAACACAAAGTACTGTAATACTATAATGGAAAGAAACTATTAGAAAAAACTTCGAGACTCATGAAGTTAGGTAAAACAGCTTAACACTCAACTTTGAAAGATCAACGTTTCTGAAGGGTGTTGGCGTTGCACATTCGAAGGAGCAGAACGACGAAATGCAGTGTAAGCGGCTGATAAACTGGCCAATGTCTACGCCTGCGCAAAGCACTATACAAATGAAGACATCCTTCTTTGTTCATGCCGCCTAAGAACACTGAGGACGAGATGGTGATAGAAGTAAAGCGATGAGTTGAGCTGCCTGTACGAAGCGCAGCGGTCAGTATCCACGGTATCGGAGTTGCTTGAAAAAAGTGCCTACCAGTTAGTCAGCTGAAAAAGCCCGCAAGCAGATTGTCCGCCTGCCCGGTAAGAACGATTGTGTGAAGTAACGTCATCAAAAGAGCCTTAGTTGATACACAAACTTTCATCAGACCATGAACTTGCCTAAGTGGTTAAATAAAAAAAGACGATTTCGTTAAGTAATAGTCAGCTGCGGTTGTCAGAAGAAAGGTTCGCGCAGCCTCGAGCATAGTGCACCAGGAGTGACTAAAGCGCGGACGGTTGTGAATTCTGGGTCACGTTTGGGAGGCAAACGGAACCAAGAGATGTTTGACCATGGCTTCTTTAAAACTGTCCTTCGGGTGACACCTGGAACTGTGTTTCCAAAACACTTCAGACTGCGGAGAATAGGCCTTTGATACAACGATAGCACATAGCCATCGCCAGCAACTCGCCTTTTAAATGGCCTGTGCAGTGCTTTGGAAAATTTAAGAAAGCCCGAGGGACTTTGAAAAAGCATCCAGCCCACCGCTCCAATGCTTCCACGCAAAACAAAGCGCAAGACAGAAGTGGTCAACTAGAGCAAAGGCTTAGAAAGCCTTGAAAAGACACCGAAGTAGTACTTGTGCTATGTGTAAACAGTCTTGAACATTGAAGAGCGAGGCAGGATGGCCATGTTCGCCTCACCAAATCATCATGCACGAAGACGCAGTATGTGAGACACCGAGGTCGGGTAGACCAGCAGTAGTCATATTCATTTTTGTAATCGAAACAAAATACCTTTAAGTGGAAGAACTAGGTCAAAGCAAAAAAACTGTAGTGCAGTCAAACAGGTAAGTCAGATTAGAGCTGGGAGGTACATGCTGTTTGATTGAGAGTTAAGAGTCAAAGTGGCATAAGGCACCTTGTTCAAATCCCTGCGGCGTCAGTGTGATTTGCCCTCATTACGAAGGCACTCAGATGACCTGATCTTACAGTCCGACCAAATGTCTCTGCTAAATTCAACACAGAATCACAGGTGTCGAGACCTTATGTGGCGTAATGCACGCGCATTAGAATATGAGATCTCTGGAGCTGTTCCCGTAAATCTATAAAAGAAACTGACCTAAACACAATCCCCCTCCGCCCTTATCATGACTGGATGCATCACGTGCTGTGGCCTCATCAGCAGTCAATAGTTTCAGAAAGCGGCAGAGATGCTGTACAGAATGAACCCCCTACCACCGGCCGTACATAACTTTTTACCGTTAATCATGACTTGGCCCTGATCGCAGTGGTTGAGGTTAAATAGCTGAGAGTTATGCTTCTGCTCAGAACTGCCTGGAATTTTCTTGCTAAACCGAGGTTAGGCCTGGTTCCAATGTAGTAGAACGGCGACAGGATTTTCTCTCTCACATTCGATTCTCAGTTTTGGAAGCCGATCCACCACGGCATCAGACAATAATTGGCGACCGCTGGCAAATTATTACACGCACTGTATCGTAAGAGTGAAATGCTACCAGGCTCTTTCATAAAGGGATCTTTATTGTATCACCCCTTTTGATTGTTTCAGTTTTTACGAAAAATCAAATATGGCAAGAGGCCAATGGAAACAGAACTTCTCTTATGTGACAAGAGACAAACTGCCGACTGCGCTTAAGTACAAATAGATTCGACAAAATTGGAGCCCTTTTCGAGGAGTAGAACAAGTGAATAGCCCATGGAGAATGAAGAAACCCTGGGTCATCAATAGCAAGAGTTCAGTGTTTGATGTGTTTGGGTCAAAAACACTACTGGGTGTCACGTTTTGATGGAGGACGAAGTGGAATTTCTATAACAGTATGACACATACTGCTGAGGTCCTGTAGTTTCAGATCCAGACTGGTACAAAATTCCATGTGTTAAGTTGCTACTCCAGCTTTTTTCATTTTGAAAACATTTGCTAAAGACACCAAACCCCAATTCCGAATTCGAAAGAGGGGTAAGTATCAGAAATCGGTTATTGCGACGAGGAAAAACAATGACTCCCTTTGTCTACAGAAAATTCCCTGGTGTGAACTAAAGGAATTTAACGCGCTAGAACGCACTAGAAATTACGATTGGGCCTGCTGGATTTTGAATAGACAGATAATCGGCGAAGATTGGAGAGGCAAACCAGTGTCTTATCACTACAGTCCAGCATGCATTGCGCCGTTACAAGGGAAAGCACGACTACGAATGCCAACCAAGACAGAACAGAGACGAAAACCAAAGAGGGCTTAAAAAGTTTAAATTAGCAATAATTGTTACGAAAGGAGAATTTGGTATTTAATTTGGACAACTTGGCCGGCCCAGGCCTTTCACCTCCATAATCAGCACCGTAAGTGCAACTTAGGAAGACCGGAAACGCATTGCTAAAATGACTTGGCGGCCGACGTAGGTGGACCAGAAGACGACGGAACTGCCAACAACGACGGGTAGAGTTGACGCAGCAGAATAAAGAAACTGTGTAGGTGAGTCGATGACGTGTCAACTACATGTCTCGCGAGGCACACCTGTAATAATCAAACTTGTAGAAAGCGCACCAACAAGCGAGCATGAAAAAGAGAATGCGGCGCGTGTGACCGATGCGGGTGAGTGAGCCAGAAGAAAAACCTTTTACGACACTTGCACTGGATCGGCATGGAGAGGAAAGTATATGAAATGCGCGCTCTGTTGCCGCCTGGCCGTCCAGAATGATAAACATCTTCGAGATGGTAAGTCTGAAGAACGCTAGAAAAGGACGTCACGAAATTTAATGCCTCCATGGGAGACAGGCCATTTTCGAGATGGCTTGCGGAAAATAGGGGTCCGGGTTCCTGCTACCGAACTAAAACAACAGACTAGGTCCACGCTCAAGTATACATATATTAGAACCACAATCGTACGTCAAATGAAAAACACAGAGGCGATACTAGAAACATTACCGTCCATGCAGAAAAAGTGGTTTCCTTGTGCTATGGAACAACAGGCTAGGAACGAAATAGAACGCTGGTGCTTTAAAGTCAAAAAATAACTTGACATGCGTCATCCGCACCGAAAGTTTTTAGTCCTTGGCGAAAATCTGTCGGAAGGTCGATTCTCATGATAACCGAATTGGTTCCTAAAGCAAAGGTCGACAGGCCCTAAAGGCCAAATAGGAAATCATTTTTATCAGATGGTCTGGGGTGTATGGTATGTACCAGGACGCGTGACGCCTAGAGCAAACTCTTCCGGTATGCTTTTGAACGGACAAAATCACTTCAGTGAGCCTTAAAAACGAGCACAGAACACAATCTCGGGATGGTTCCCCCATGGTAGAATACTGGCTTTCTACTGAACAGCGTCCCAGCCACCTGTCAAAATTGCACTCAGCAAAGACTACTTACTTAGTATGTAAGCATCCATTGATTTTCTATAGCTGTATAAAGCAGCTCGCACTTCATTAATGAAGTCTTAATATAAAGCTATGATTGCTCCAAATTTCGAAACTGGTGGTAATATCTTGGTTTCCATGCATGCGATGGTGCGGTCGTCGAGGCCCATAAACCTTTTTTTTTTTAAATAAAAAGCGCTTTTATTACACGCAATCGCCTTGAATGTGCGTGTGACAAAGGAACTTGTTGCACGTTGTTCCTGTAATATATGATACAGTTCATACAAACACCAACCATTCGTAAAAAATAATCATACTCATGCAGTGGCTGTTTTTTCAAGTGCAGTTTGCACTGGTGGCAGCAAAGACACCAAGCAAAAGCTCAGCATGCTATCTTGGGATTATTTTCTTCGTCAATAATTTTTGTAACCTCCCCTCCCTTCCTAACTAACTATTTTCACTTAATGGTGAGTGAAAAATCCATCAGTGTTTCAGGAGTCTTGGGAGACACTGTCGGAGAAAACTCTCTCGAATTGGTGAAGTTATGCGATGTTCGAAAGTTAGTCTGTGGATAAAAGAGCGTAGAGCGTAGAGGGTTACAATGCAATACGGGTAGTTTAGGAGGCAAGCATTGAGTGTATTAGAGCCCGATACAGGGGCCAGCGCAAATGCATGTACACGTAGTCGACATGTCGCAACTATGTAGTGGACTGTCTGCATGGGTGTGCGTTAATTAAGGCATTATAAAGGCGTGTAAAATAGAAAGTACACGTGAATAAATAGACCACTGACGCTTTAACTCCAGAGGTCACTACTGCTGCAGCGAAATGTAAGAGAATGAGAGGAAAGAGTGAAATACAGTCCGCAATCTGCCATTTGCAAGCTTGGCAAGAGAAAAAGGACTGTCCGTCCCTATTTGAGGGTTACGAATGACCGACTCGGTTGACCACAAACGTAAGCACTGGGACTGCGCTCGTCATGCCAGTAAGGGGTTTGGTCAAATACCTCCAGTTTTCTCTCGTCTTCCACGCGTACAGTCCAGCATTCATAATCATAAGGATAGGCTGGACGGATGTACCGTATACGCGAATCATTTTAGCGATGGAGATCTCGCGTCATAAACATTTTTTATGGCTTGAGAAAACCCGGTGGGCAGAATTAATTCAGGAGGCGATATCGTCCCTACTCTGTTCATTCGGAAGCAATCTCGTCCAGAGGTATTTAAAACTGTCTACTTCTTCAAGTTAAAAGACATTAATCCCGAGATGTGCCTTTTCCTGGTCAGGCATGCAGCCTGAAAACACTTTGGCCTTTTCAGCGTTCATGGACTAACCGACCGATTTAACGGCCTCGTTCACCCGTGACACCATTGACTGCAGAGCATCAAAACTTGAAGCAAGTGAGGAGATATCATCGGCATAGCCGAGATCAGTCAGTCGGTGTCCGGGTGGGAACCTCAACACCGTCATCTCCGTGTAAGGCCCTCCCGAGAATCCAGTCAACAGCGTAGTTCAACAGAATGGGCGCCACGATACAACCCTGTCTGACGCCAGAACGGCTGAGAAATTTTGTTATGGACCCGAAATCGCGCAGTGGCGGAGAGGTAATAAGCCTAGATCATGGCAACAATTTTTGGCGGTACACCATCTAGTGTCATTATCCGCCACGGGGACGCACGATGGACGGGATCGAACATTGAGGCAAAGCCAACAAAACAGTCGACCATCGGTTGCTGGTACCTATGGCGGAATTCGAGAGTGCACCTCAGTGTGAATACCTGGTTGTCATGCTAACATAGGCCCCTGGCTAAATTCCATCTTATCTACTACTTTTCTATTTCTCGTCTTAGTACCAGTACGTCAATTGTAAGATGAATAAAGCCCTGTTATAGGGTATTCTCGTTCTGACTGTTGCATCCATATTTGTTTGTCCTTGCCATCTCGTGTGCCTGCTACGGTCCTAGCTACAACACTGGTGCGCACATCCACATCCGGCACGGAACTTGACTTGGTTGGGTACAGCCTGGAATCGCCTGAGGACAATAGCGAAGATCTTCGCAGCAACGCCGATGAGGCTTATGCCGCGGTAGTTCTCGCATTTCGTCTTATCTCCATTCTTGAGGATAAGTAGAAGGATGCCCGAGATCCAATCATCCGGAGCAATATCGTCTCCACGCTTGTTCAATTATCTCATGGAGACAGGGCGTCAGTGTCAACACAAGACTTATAGATTTCAGCGGGTATAACGTCCTCTCCGGGTACCTTGTTGTTGTTCAGCCTTTGTATGGCATCAGCAACTTCTTCTTCAGAAAGTGGGTCGTATGACACTGCATAGATTGGAGAGGGAAGAGACTATGCAGCAGAGGAGAGCAAGGCCGTTGTGGGTTGGGCATCGAAGTTAAGATGATGTTCGAATTGCTCACGCCAGTACTCGACTTTAGCCGAGTTGTCAGCAATAAAGCCACAATTCACGTCTCGAACAGTCACTCAGGGCAGAGGACTTACCACTAACTTGATGGATAAGTTGGTAGGTTTCGAGTGTCACCAACGTTCGAGGCCTGTTCCATGGAGGTCGCTATCTCGGTCCAACTTTTCCACCTGTCATTCCTGGCCGATTTTGCGTCATCCGCAGTTGGCGGAGGGAATCATCATCACAGGGCCTGGCTCGAGCTGTCTGAGTAGACAACTGCAGGGTTCTTCGGCTGATCCAGTCACTGCGGTGTCGCTGGGTATACCCAAGGATTTTCCCAGCTGCACCAAAAACCGATGTTTTCAGTGACGACCACTGGTTACTGCCATCTCCGTCGGCTGGGGTCGTAAAACAGGACCGGATTTCTCTGCTCAGGGTCTCGGCAGTGCTCGGTTGCCGGATGTGCTTACATTGGTCAAGCGACTAAACACCTACCCAAGCGGATGCGGGAGCATCATCCTGCCTGGCAGTGAAGGGTTCCTTTCTGGCGCAATCGTGACTCACGCGGTTGACAGCAGCCACCAGTTAGACGTCAATCAAGTATTTCGAGTCATTTATAAGGTTCCTGAGTCAGCGAACGCTGGGGAAAGCAGAGGCAGTGGCCATACGGCTGGCCAACGCAACCTCATACTCGCAGAAGGCGTTCGGAAAAGCATTTAAGTTCTACTGGCCAAAGCTGAGTACCACATGTTTGTTCTCGCATCCTGCCACGTCGCGTTACACAGACGAAACATAAATATAACTCGATGACATTCTCCCATTCCCATTTCCCAGAGAGGAATAAGCTACAATTACCTCCCCTCCCCATGATACCTGACACGTCTGAACGTCCTCAACCCTTTCCCCGAAACGATTACTGTTAATTATCTGTTTTCTACTTTTGCTACTTTACCACAACCTATTTGATTTACTGTACAGGCCTGGGGATGAATAATCGACAAAGATAAAATTGCTAGGAAAATAAGATAGGACGAATTTAGACTAGGGAACCAAAAGGATAAGCGTACTTGTAATAAGAGATCCGATTAGAAGGGTTTCCAAAAAAGACTATTAACTTACGCCACTTGACGGAAATTTTTTGAGCTACCACTCTTCCCGCTAAAACGGCCAGGCCCGTGCAAATACCATGTCCAAGAATTCCACCAGTGATGACTCCGAGAACATTCTGATGGATGAATGTGGAACAAAGCAGACTGTTTGAGAAGAATGAGATTTCGAGTCTTAAGTTAACAAAGTAGTTGTAATTACTACAATGTACTATGTCTTAATCGGCGCAAAACAGGATAATTTTGAACTGCAGGTAGGTAGTTTTACTAAGACTTTTGGAAGAAAGTACTAATCATAGCTAAAGTTGCAACTTTCGGACAAAGAAAAGCATGGCAGCTTTCTGTTTTGTTTGGTCCCAATCTAGCGAAAAATGACGCGCTCGTAAATGATCAAAAGCTAGCTAGGGATCAGGAGAAGAACCGAACAAAGACTTTTCAGTCACCCGGACTGGCGACAGTCTTTAATGGTAAAAGATTGCAGTAATCGGCTCCAGCATAAAAAAGCTTTGATGACTGTAAGTCATCAACGGTTCACATGAAGAAATTGAGAACGAGGACCTCGCGTGGCTGCTTACTCTCTACAATGGACGTTTCTGGTTCACAGCTACCTCCATTTGAATATTTTATCCCGATAACTGTCTGCAGATTAAAGCACAGACCACATCTTGATGATAAAACTCAAGAAAGCAATTTCAAGGAAAAGGTTAGTTCGATCTCTCATTATTTTTCAATGCATATAATAACACCCGCGACCGGATGCCAACATACAAGTTTTGTTATTGGTAGCGTTGGCCTTAAGGCCCAACGGACTGAGCAATTCAGAGTAAATACGAAAGCCGCGAGAACCCGTACCCAGTTATGGCTTTATCTACTTTTAGGTTACTTGCAGACTGCCACTGTACATCGAAGCTACCAATAATAAAAGTTCCAACGTCGTCAATTCCATCCTCCCCGTAAAGACAGAAGAGATGGGGAGGAATGAACCAGCTCACTGAAGAGCTAAAAAAGTCATGTGTCGTTCAGAATTAACACCTAGAGAGCACAACTGAATGACTGGCGGGGCGACCAAACAGAGCTCTATTGGGCGTAGTCGTCAGAACGACTAAAGTGTGTGAAGTTAAGCAAATCGCGATGTGTAAAATTTACGATACTGCACTACCCAGCAAAGGACACGTAAGGCTTATGTGTAAAGGTCGTATGCCCCAATTTCCACTGAACGCCCTACTGGCATCGCTTTCAGAAGTGCAAAAATAACCTATAAAATTGTCCCAAACAAACAAATAAGCATTCAGTAGCCACAGCCAACAGTTTACGAAAACGCACCTCGCGTGCAGCCAGCACAATAGTAGTTAATTGGGACCGATCACCCCACTCGGCCAAGAAAGTCATCAAAAAAGCCTCTGCGAAAATGGGCGACAGAACCTTTCGCAACAAGGCGCGTATACGAACATGGCTCGACGACCCTAAGTTGACGTCAGCACTCCCAATTTGCTGTTCAACCTCTTGGTACTCCTCGTTCGCATCGCCAGGAGACATTGAGTATGCTAAAACGATGATTGTGAGTAAAAGTGCAGACCATCATACAGCATTTTGGCCCCAAATATAATAAAGAGGGCCCCGGACAGATAAAATGTGTATACTCTCGGCAGGATTTCCGTAGCATACCCAAGAAGAGCTAGGTGGGTAGGGTAAACAAGGTCAATCACTACCTGAAAGGACAGTCATGGTAGTCAGAGCGAACATGGCCCCTAGATACACCACCAGACGAGGATGGTGAATGGAGAGTATGGCAGCAATGAAGAAAGTTTTATCTCCAAGCTCCGATATTACAATAACGTAAATGGTTGCCATAAATCCCGAGAGGAACCGCGCAGTTGCATCGCTCGCGGAATCAGATGACAAGGCTTTAGGAGGCTGCAAAAGGCCCGGACCATCTTGTACAGGATTCGGAATTTTAACAACGGCAGACTGTGTTACAACAACCACGACCGCCAAATGGATTAGAATCAACACCACCCTAGGCCACCCGATCATCACCAAGGTCGTAACGACAAGCAAGTACTTACGTTTTCCGCCTCTAATCCGACCTAGTAAAAGCAAATTTCAGGGGAAGCTTTATTACGATATTGTCTGTGGATATTTACACATACGCATCAGGAACAGAAATTTTCCTTTCACAGCAAAAACATCAACTCTCCTTCGGGTTATTCTTCCTGTGGGCTAGGTTCATCCTAAACTACAACACTTTTGCACTAAGTGACATTCCCAATTTACAATAATAATTCATTCGAATCTGCATGATAATAATTTCCCCGGCCGTAAGTATTTACTGCACACAATTACCATGGAATGTTTTTGTATTATGGCTGAAAAATTTTATGCATTAAGGACTTGTCATTCACCAGGTAGCTAGGTTCATCCTAAACTACAAAACTCTTGCAACATGGGACATTCCCATTTTTACAATAAGTATTCAATCGAATCCGCATGATAATAGTACAAGTATTTTCCCTGAATATAATACGTTAGGCAATTGTCCAAAGGATCCCTCCTAACCCATCCGTAAGTACTTACTGCACACCACTACCATGGGATGTTTTTGTATTATGACTGTAAAATTTTATGCATTAAGGGCTTGTCATGCCCCAGGAATCGTTTTCAGATAAAAAGCACTGGTCCCTGGAAGACAACTTGGGCATCTAACACGTTCGAAAGTTGGATCGACTGTAGATGCACAAAGGGATGAAGAGAAAACACTATTTTTACGACAGGAACGAAGAGGAAGATGCGATTTGTCAATAAGAAGTACGTTAGCTGAATGTTGCGGATTCTTGCTAGAAAGTATAGTAAGAGGCGGTCGCAGATAAAGGTACGGGGGGTACGAGAACTGCACCAGTTGTTTTACAACCACGTGACTACATTATTTAGCAGCACATTTGTTTATCAATGGGACTCGTATTTGATGCGAAGATTGCATCTTAGTACACGGCCGAGTCGTTAATCGTCGTGATTTCATCAATGTTATTGACTCTTTGCGTGGTACTTACTCCACCATCTGGCTCGCTGTCACTGCGATTGTTGGTCGGCAGCGCCCTTCCCGTGTGACTAATTGTTTTAACTAGGCGAAGTCTCGGCGCCGAATATTGAAACGAGAGGTGATAGCGATTGTTTACTGACTGTGGGCCGAATAACTATGATTTAAGCGGCTCGTCGCTCACGAAGTTGTCATCTCTTATAGGAATTGTGGACTCTCCAAACATCAAAATGCTGCCGGGTCCCATCAAATGAGCCGCGACCTGGGACCCAGCGTCGTCCACTCTCCCTACTGCGTCCTTGACCACTCGCGTCCGGAATAATCTCCCAGTATCGCCGATGTGGCTGCTTTGTCTGTCACCGCACCGGATCCAGTAAACGACACTGGATGTTAACTGCCGTGGCAGTGGGTCTTTCGGCCACATGTGCAACCTTAACTCCATATCGCGTGAGAATGTGGCTGACGGATCACGAGAGGACCTTCGAGTACGGCAACGGTTGCTAAAATTTGGCGTCACTTTGATTGAGTCTCTCGTCTCGTTTGCACATGCATGCCTTTGCGACGTGTTTCTTCTCACTTTAGTCGGCGGTCGTAACGACAAGCGAGTACTTACGGTTTCCGCCTGTGTTTCGACCTAGTGAAACCAAATTTCAGAGGAAACATGATCCCCATTTTGCCTCTGGATATTTGCACTTACAAATGGAGAATATGAATAAGTAGAAAACTCTCACGGAAAGACAGAGCGGAGGACGTCGACCGATAAAATTATTCGAACACCTAACAAATATAGACATAATTCAGGCAGCTGAGTCTTAGGAAGCAGGCAGCAGGCAGATTTAATCTTCTCTGAAAAACCCCGACTACAAAGCAACCTACGTGGAGTGTTTTTGGTCAGATTACTCCCCTATTGATTTAATGAAAAGGAAGACACCGATAGAATGAGGAAGAAAAAAGTTTGGACATTGTAGAGGGGCGCTCACCGATCGTTCTACGGAACTCACTCGTCCCGTTACGCCTTACGGGCTCTCTCTCGAGCCCAACCAGCAGCTGGACAGCGGCACATGATAAAGACAGACGGGCCAGTGAGTTACGTAGAAAAGATCGGTGAGCACCTTTCCACCATTGTATATCCCCGATCGCAGCCGACAAGACAACGAGCCCGTGGCTCAGTGGTTAGAGACGTTGGATTCCTAACTAACAGGTCGTGGGATCGAGACCCCACAATTCGGGGATTGGGTATGATTGGCTGACGACGGCAGATAAGTCAGAAGAGGCCATTCCAGTCTCCCTTGTCTTTATCGGCAATACCAGTTTGACAATGATTAGCAACGAAATTATAAGAACGATGCGCACATTTTATGGGATCGTAGGATGAGACTGACGATAACAATGCTGGTCATCAATTGCATCAAACGTTGGTAGATTTGAGCCCAGACAGTGGACTGGATATCATACAAAATATAGAGCAGTAATTGTCAAGTTCAAGAACCATTAAACGATTTCCAGAGATCGAGAATACACAAAAATAATACAATGAGGCACACCAATGTACACAGTCTACTCAGCAAAATGGATGAAATCAAACTGCTCATTCTTAACCTCACTTTATAGCCTCAGCCGAAATATAGTTAAATGAAATGAAGAGGGGGCGTTCACCCCTCCCGGTGAACGCCCCCTCTTCTTTTGATATGCCACCTGGGAATCGCATTTTCACTACTATTGATAGTTAAATGAGCAGATACCTGATGCAGAATTTACGCATGCGCATGGATCGAAATAAGCGTGGGGGTGGAGGAATCGCGATGCACAGGGATCCGACCCTATCGCCTGAAGTCTACAGGCGCGACGGGTACCGGCTGATAGACAAATTTGATACGTTTTTCCAGGAGATGTGACGCCGGGGATAGCTTCCCCAGGATTTCAAGGACGCAGCTGTCGTCCACCTTCACAGGCTGGAAGCAAATGCACACCTCCGAACTAATCACAGAGGGAACTGGATGCCTAACACTGATAGGGGAGCCTTCGCCAGCGTCCGTCTTAACCACCTAAACAGCTATCTAAAAAGAGGACTGTTGCCGCAAAGCCAGCGTGGCTTCCGTCGAACCGTGAATCACTGACACGACGCACGCCGCGCGTCAGCTGCAAAATAAATGGCGGAAAGAGAAAACACACTTCTGAAGAAGCTTCGCGGACCTGACGATAGCCTATTAGACGGTGAATCGCGATGGACTCGAGAAGGTCTTGTCAAAATTCTGATTTCCCCAACGATTCGCGTATATGACGAGTCAGCTCCACGACGGAATGGTGGCGTGGGCCGTTGACAATGGAACAGTCCAAGAAGCATTAGCAGTAGCCAATGGAGTAAAGCAGGCCTACGCGCTCGATCCCTCCCTTCAGTCCCGTGTTCTCTGGCATGCAGACAGACACCTGCCACGATCCATCTCCGAGACCCTCATGGTAAGCAACGCCGACAGACATTCGGCTGATCACCCGGCTGGCTCCCACTGTTTATACTGGTTTGAACGGTTAGCATGCCATTTAATGTCTGGATGTCTCTTACTAGAAAATGAATTGCTAACAGCCACTTAAAATAACTAACTCTCCGCAACACGCCTGTACAGACCACCAAAATAAAAATACGTTTAAGATGCCGGTGAATGATAGAGAGTCCAGCCGTAAATATCACCGTTAAGACAACGGAGTCAATGTTTAAAACAAACAAACTTTGGACAGTATTTAGACATTTTATTTCTACTTTGGCGGATAATGGTGCGAACCGACAAGAACTGCTAGAGGCCTGCATGTCTGGCATCAGCTCCATCAACGGGCATGTTGAGCAACTCCTCTTTTATCACGTGCTACACCCACGCGGCCAAATGCCTCGGCTCAGTTCCCAACTTATGACGCACGCCGTCAGCACGCCGTGAGACCACTGGGAGTTAAGCGGCATAATACTAAGTCAGTTACGGACACTACACTTCGCCCTTCCTTAATGGTCGACTGCGTAACTTGTCACTTGCGGCACTTCCATTGTCTTTGATGCTAGGATCCTGTGTGAGTCCGAAAACTTTGGCTAATACACCTTCTGTCTTAGTAATCGCGCGTTCATCTTCTTCGAGACATTATCAATGTCCATTTGCTCGTTCTTTCGTAAAATATTGGTAGGATGCTTCGAATCCCCTCCTGTGCGTGTTTTTCACCGTTTGCGACTTGGCTTTCTTGAGTCTATTACTTATGTTCCTGTCCTTACCATTTATTTACATTCACGTGATTCATGTCGTTGACCTGTCTCGTGGTCTAGCTCTCGCGTGTATTCCATCTCTATTTTTCTACTACGTTAATTTTTCGTTCATTATCTGGGATTCTAGAGTTTTTACTTATTGCCTCTATATGCACGCACTCCAAAAGCGATGGAATGTCATATGTGCACGAGACCTCAGGCCAATGTATCAATGAATATAGCGACCAGCAAGGTGCGTTAAACTTTCCCCTATAAAATTAAATATGGTGCAATCAGACCATCAGACGACATTTTGACATCAAATATAATAAAGAGGGACCCGGAGAGATAAAGTATGTATACCCACGGGAGAATTTCCGTAGCACACTCAAGGAGACCTAAGTCAGTAATGTAAATAACGTCAACCACTACCTAAAAGGACAGTCGATGAACAGTGAATGTACAGTGGCAGTGTGGGCTATGTAATTTGGGAGATAAGTAGTCGGTTACCATGCGGTGCTGCTAGTGGTGGTCGCCCTGGCGAGCGGAGGGTTTATTTGGCTGGGGATGCGAATGTAGTCGGATGCGCAAGGTGTGCTGAGTGTGTCGATATTGCAGTGAAGGCAGCTGTTGTTCATATGCATGTGACCTAATGGACCTACGTAGTGAGTAAATGTGCAGGGACATTGCAGACAGTGAAGGCGGATGAGGCGAGTGTATTTTGCGGCTCCAGGTACTAGTGCATCGGTCTCAGTGCGACGGATTCGCAGGTGACCGACTAGACTGATGAATGAGGTGAATATGCGATCGCAAGGAACACAAATTGGGACTGAGTACACATCGATGGTGGGGAGGGAGGGATGAGAGTGGAGAGGGTGGTGGCTGGCGAGACACCGGAAGCGTTTTGACCGGTGGTGGTGGTCACCGCCGCGGTCGCAGGGATAATGGAGCTGGCTGTAGTCGGCGGGGCAAAGGGATTGTGATAAGCGGTGGTGAGGGTGGCCGTCGTCGTGAACTCCGTAGGGCTCTGGCAGAGGTTATGATTGGGGCGTTTGCGGATGCAGCAGGTGGAGTTGTCGGGTTGATATATTGGGTCAGAATATGTCTAGCGGGACCAATCCGTGGAAGAAATGTTCATTGGCAGTCTGAGCATTTTGGGGGGACTGGATGTTGGCGTTACAGGTCAGGCACAACTGAGACTTGCGAGCTGCTCCTTCGACATTTTCAGCTGAGATCGGTTGGCTTCGTATGTTGATGGTCCTGTCTTCACAGCCCTCCTTCAGTCCGGCCGATCCTGGGCAAGATCCTCTAAGGTCTCCGGGTTGATTTACAAGTGCTTCAGGGTGTCCTTGTAGCGGCCTGCTTGTCTTCCTTGTCAGCGATCACCTGTGGTTACATCTCCGTAGAAGAGTCATTCAGGTAGGTGCCTGTCATCCTTACTCGTGAGATGGCCGTCCTAGCGTAGTTAAATCTGACGCAGCAGGGCATAGATGCTGAAGATTCCAATTCTTTCAAGGACGTTTGTGTCTGGCGTCCAGTCTTGCCACCACAGCTTTAATATTCTTCTGAGATAGCCGAGCTGGAAGTTGCTGGGGATCCTTGTTTATTTCTCGTAGACTTCCAGGTCTTCGTATCATGCAGCTTTGCCCACCTTCCGTTTGGTGCTAAGATGGAGACCGCGGTACTTCCACACCGAGCACGCCTGCCGGCCGAGGATCTAGCTGGCTTTGATGTCCCGGTAACAATTCCGTCACCAATTTTGTCCTCCACGAACAGTTACGTCTGCGGATAAATCGGAATGTTTTCGTAGAATGAATCAAATTTATTCACATGAAAGAGAAATCGAATCGAACTTCGTCAGTCTAACTGGACTATAGGCGTTCCTAAAACATTTCAATAGATCTGACGTAAATGGTAATATTCTCACGAACTAACGAGTTATATCGCACGATCCCTTAGCATTAAAGGCAGCAAGTATAATCGACCGGTGAATAATATAGAAATTCTGAACGTTAAGTAATCTGACAACAGAGCGCGACAGCTAAGCAGGCCATCCAAGCGGGTTGTTCAGGTGTGTCGTTTTTCTTCACATTCAAATAAGCAATCCGGGTAAAGAAAACGGGACTAAATTTGCAAATGTAAATTAGTCCGCTGCCTCACCAGCGTGCCCTCCTACTAGACCGTTGTCGACGTAATACGGATATACGTAATACGGGGGATACGCATAAGTCTATGAAAAAATGCGTAGCCAAACGGTCGGGAAAATGAACTTGACGGTCACAGCGAATGATATGTGCAGGAGGTACAGTCGAATACGCTTGAGTGTTTGCTATAGTGGAGGTTGATATTGCAGTTGGATGCTGTAGACACGTAGGGAGAGGAAGTACGCGGGACGGAGAGTTAGAGGGCGACGGAGGGGAAGATAGGTGGGTAAGGTGAATGAGCAAGGGGAGTAAAGACGAAGTGAAAGGAATTAGGGTGCCAGCACATTTTGGTCCTTGTGATAGTCCCAGCGGCTCCTCTGTAACAGTAGCCTTGGCCCGATCGACACTGACCACGTCCTCCTTGTCACAGCGAAGAACCCGGCAGGTCTTGGCGTTGTGTGCGAGCACGCGGAACGGTCTTTCGTATGGTGATTCCAGCGACTGGCGCACACGGTCACACTGGACGAACACATGAGTACAGTTGTCCAAGTCTTTTTGGACATAAGAATCAGTCGTTAGAGTTCGAGGTGGAACTGGGACAAGCGAGCGCATCAATTGCCGCAAACGGTGCACAAAATTGTCAGGGGTCTCGTCGACCCCTCGAGAGATTGGTGTGACCATCTCACTTGGCAGTCGGAGGGTAGTGCTGAAAACCAATTCAGCTGCACTTCAGTCCAGATTCGACTTCAGAGCTGGGCGAATGCCGGGGAGTACAAGAGGAAATTTGTCCAACCAATTTCCTGGGTCTTCTACGGCACACAGAGTGATCTTTAACTGGCGATGGAAACGCTCAACCATACCGTGGGCAGCTGGGTGGTAGGCCGTCGTCCGAATTCGTGTGCAGCCAAAGAAGCTGAGTAGCGTTTGGAAGAGTGCAGACTCAAACTGGGCACCACCATCAGTCGTAACCGTGGATGGAGCACCGAACATGATGACTCAACGACTGACGAAGGCCTTCACGTTGATTTCAGCCTGCACATTCGGCAAAGGAATAGCTTCAGCCCAACGGGTATACCGATCGACACAGGTAAGGGGGTGGGTGAAACCATTGGATGGAGGCAAGGTGCCTACAACATCCAGGTGCACATGGCTGGACCGTGCGTCGGGAGTGGGGAAAGTGCCTGGTGGGGACTTATCGTGACGTTGCACCATGTTGCGTTGGCAATTCAGACACGATCGGGTCCAGGTTTTGACGTCTTTGTTCATGCCAGGTCAGACAAACCTTTCCGTGAGGAGCTTTTGAGAAGCTCGGATCCCAGGATGGGAGAGTTCATGTGGAGTTTGAAATACACCTCGACGGGTCGAGGTGAGCACGAAAAGGCGATGAAAGTGAGTTGAGACGTCACAAAGTATGGTACCAGAGCCGGTGGTTAGAGGAACGTCTTTGAGTTGGAGACAACTAACAGACTCGTCAGCAGGACAACTGACTCGCTGTTGCTCAGCCGCCATGACGCAAAGATCGATTCTGTGTAAGAGTTGAAGGGAAGACAGTGACGGTCTGGACAGCATACCAACCACCTCATTCTTCGTGCCATCGATGTGGTGGATGTCGGTTGTGAATTGGGAGATGTAGTCAAGATGGGCGGTTTCCACTTGGATTGTACTTGTCGGAGTGGGACCTAAGTGCAACGGTCTACGGTGTGTGTTCCGTGAAAACAGTGAAGTCCCGACCTCCAAGGAAATGCCGGAAATGCTTCCCAGCCAGGTAAATGGCAAGTAGTTCACGGCCAAAGGTACTGTGGTGTGTCTCAGCTGGTAAGAGCTTTTGGGAGAAAAAGGCAAGAATTCGAGTCGAACCAGCAAGGTTTTGTTGAAGGACTGCACCTACGGCTACGGCCGAAGCATCTGCCATCAGGGACAGCTGAGTTTCGGGAACGGGATGCGTGAGTAAGGTGGCGTCGACAACGGAATTCTTGATTCTCTCAAGAGCAGTCAGTGCTTCACCAGTCAGCTCGAGGGGACCTTTGGGGCCAGAAACCATGTTGGTGAACGACATCATGAGGTCAGCAAAATTCGGTTGGAAACGACGTTAAAAATTGACCATGCCAAGGAATCGCTGTAACTGACGCTTGGAAGTTGGTGGAGGGAAACAACGAATTGTTTCAACCTTGGAGGGGAGGAAACGTAAGCCTTCAAAGTCGACATGATGACGAAGGAACTCGAGTGAAGACAAAACCAAAACGCACTTGGAGGAGTTGATGACAACGCCAAACTTGTCAAGGCGGTCAAACACCAAGGTAAGATGTTCTTTGTGTTCTTACTCATTCCGGCTAGCCACCAATAGGTCATCAGTGTAGGCGTTCACAAAGGGTAGGCCACGTAAGACATGGTCGATGAACCTCTGGAACGACTGGGCGGCATAAGAAGACCGAACACGATGCGGATGAACCCGAAGTGGCCGAAGGGTGTGGTGACGGCGGTCTTAGGGTTGTCCTCAGGGCGACCGGCGTCTGATGAAAAGCTCGCACCTGATCAATCTCTGAGAAAACGGCTTTGCTGAAAAGGGTTCCAGCGAAGTCCTGAAGACGAGGCACGGGGTACCGATCAGGAATTTTGACGCGCTTGAGTGCACGATAGTCGCCACAGGGTTTCCGGTCACCTGATGTTGCCTTAGGCACCATTTGCAGTGGAGACGTCCAAGGGCTCTCGGACGGTCGAATTATTTCCAGTTGCAGCATGTGTTCAAACTCTGCCTACGCGGCCTGGAAACGCTCCGGTGCTAGTCGCCTCGGCCGGACAAACAGGGCTTAGCTGAGGTGCAAATATGGTGCACAACATGATTTTGGACCTCACCACTGCGAAACTGGGGGTTGATTTTGTTGGGGTGTCTAAGAAGCAGTTCCCGAAAGGGGCTAACAATATCTGTATCCAGGACAGATAAGTTGGTGGGGGCAATAAAGGGAGTTAGTCCACAAACAGGCAGATCGGTTGTGCGGTTGAGGAGACGGGCACGTCGACAGTCAACAAGGAGATCGAACTCGGCATGGAAGTCCGAGCCGAGGATTGCATGAGGGACATCACCAATCACAAAGATCCAGATAGACGACCGACGAATGCCAAAGTTCAGGGTGAGGGACAGACTGCCAAAAATGGGAATGGGGAAACAGTTGGCAGCTGGAGGTGAAGACCAGGGCTGGGGAAACGACTATCAACTTCAGTTGGGGGAACAACGCTGATTTGGGCTCCAGTGTCTACCAGGAAACATCGATGAGTCGCAGAGTCGCAAACATAGAATGTGCGATCAGAGCCGGAAATGCCAGAGAAAACGGTCACATCTATTCTCTGGCCGACTTACTTCCCTGTTTCGACTTGGAAGAGCAGGATGCGGAACAGCGACGGGCCTTTACGCCGAAGTTAATGTGATACCAACAAGTATCGGCAGTCCGAGGTCGCCAGCGGAAACGACGACGGCTGCGTGAGCGACTGGAAGTAAGGCGTGCGAGCTGTAGTTTAAGGGAGGTCGTTTCGTTCGCCATGGCCAACACCTGCTTCATTAGCTACTCATTCGCTGTCGATGAGGATGTGGATATCTGAGCAACGTAAGGTGACTGGAACCGCTGCATCTCTATCATTAGATCCGTCATCTCAGCCAGCTGTGGGACCGTGAGATCTTGAGAACCGCACGCCAGGATCGTTTGAACATCTGCAGGCAGGCGCTTTAGAAACAGCTCCTTGACGAATTTATCGTCAACCTGCATGTCTCCTAGGAGAGGACGTATTCGACGTAGAAGTTCTGAGGGCTTCCGGTCACCCAGTGACTCCTCCTTAAGTAACTGGTGATACCGCTGTCGGTCGGACACAGAATTAAGTCGAAGATTGTTTGCCTTTAAAGTGGAATAGGGAGCATCTGCACGAGGATTACATAGTAAGGATTGAACTTGAGAGATAACACTAGCTGGGCGCACTGCAACCACTTTGTGGTATTTTGCCAGCTCCTTGACAATGTTAGCGGAATAAAAGGCTGATTCAATGCGGATGAAATAAAGCCCTGGAACGTGCTGCCAGAATTGGGGTAAGGTAAAATTGACGACATAAAGGGACTGGGCGGAGTCATCGAGTTGTTGGTTGGGGCGAGACATTATAACCAAGACAGAAATGGTAAAATATCCAGAAAATTCACGAGGGAAGTAGAGGTAAATAAAATGGAAATTCACAAAGAAATAGTACGTTAAATGTTATTCAATATAACATAGAGGGGTATAAAGTCTGCATTAACGTTGGGAGTCACAAATGACGTAATGTTCTCACGAAATAACGAGTTATATCGCACGATCCCTTAGCATTAAAGGCAGCAAGTATAATTGACCGGTGGATAATATAAAAATTCTGAACGTTAAGTAACCTGACAACAGAGCGCGACAGCTAAGCAGGCCAGCCAAGCGGGTTGTTCAGGTGTGTTGTTTTTCTTCACATTCAAATAAGCAATCCGGGTAAAGAAAACGGGACTAAATTTCCAAATGTAAATTAGTCCGCTACCTCACGACAGATTTCTCGCCCGTGTTTAGAGCTGCTTATTGGAATCACAGTTTTCCATCTTTCACAGCTTTCGCGCTAACCTTCATATGCCCCAAATATTCTTTGAAGAACACATGAATGAGGCGGGAGAAGAGTTCAAACGAAAAGACAACTAAGGCGTACCTAATCCAACGAATAATGTACCTTGCCTTATAGATCATGAATTTCAGTCTTTCAGTGGTACCCAATCCATATGCGTCAGAGGCCTATATCTACAAATATATGTAGGCAGAATGTTATAACAGACAAAGACAAGAGAGACTGGAATGGACATTTCTGGCTTATTAGCCGTCATCAGCCAGTCATACCCAACCCCGAAGTGTGGCACACCAGAGGCTCGAACTCGCGACCTGTTAGTTAGAAGTCCAACGCCTCTAACCATTGGGCCACTGTCTTTGTCGGTAATAACCTCCTGCCTATATCATGCGCCAATGTGCGGCTACTGGTTGGGCTCGAGAGAGAGCCCATAAGGCACAACAGAACGAGCGAGTTCCGTAAGAACGATCGGTGAGCGCCCCCACCACGAGTTTGAGTCCCAGGTGTTCCACACTTCGGGATGCGGTATGACTGGATGACGAAGGCTGATAAGCCATTTCAGCTTCATTCATGTGTTCTTAAAAGAGTGTTTGGAGCATAGTAATGTTACCGCGGAAGCCATGAATGATGGAAAACTGTGATCCCAATTAGCAGATCTAAACACGGGTGAGAAATCTGTCGTGAGGTAGCGGACTAATTTACATTTGGAAATTTAGTCTTACCTGTATCTGCTGTAAAATAATGGAGGCCATAGTTAAGAAAGCAACAATGGAGTTCCTGGAGCAGGGCCATTTACTCTCAGACCTGCAGCACGGCTTCAGACAGAACCGCTCGTGCCTTTCCAATTTATTACTCTCGACGGAGCAATGGACTCGCGCACTGGACGAGGATGGTAGGGTCGATGTCATCTACACTGACTTTAAGAAAGCGTTCGACAGCGTCCCACACAAACGCCTAATCTACAAACTTTCTGAAATTGGGATAAGAGGAAGGCTGCTGACATGGATAACGGGTTTTCTTAGCGGGAGATCACAAACCGTGTGCATTGAGGCCTCAAGGTCAACCCCTACGCCCGTTCTAAGTGGTGTGCCCCAGGGCTCCGTCTTAGGGCCGTTGCTATTCCTGATTTACATTAACGACTGCGTCGACGACCTGGGATGCAGCGCCATCATGCTTGCTGACGATGTTAAGCTGTGGAGACCCATCAGATCTGACTCAGACAGGTACGCGCTTCATGACAGTCTCAACCGTCTGAAGAGTTGGTCAGCTCGTTGGCTCCTTACTTTTAATGTGGACAAATGTGTGGTCCTGAGACTTCGCACCAAAAAGACCAGTAAGGTGGACGATTCCTTTCAATACGTCCTTGGTGGTCAGCCCCTTTCAAATGTTGTGGAACAGAAAGACCTCGGCGTCATAATGACCTCCTCGCTGAAAACATCATCACAGTGTCAAAGGGCAGCCAAAAGTGCGATAAGGATGTTATTTGCACTGAGGCGAGGATTTGTGCAGATCGATAAAGAGCTATTCGGGAAAACCTATGGGGCATTTGTCCGGTCTCACTTAGAGTACGCAGTCCAGGCCTGGTGACCGTGGTTAAAGAAAGATTATCAACGACTGGAAAGAGTGCAGGCGATGGCTACGAAGATGGTCAAGAATCTTCATTATCTGCCTTACGAAACCAGGCTGACCGAACTAAATCTGTTTCCTCAAAATTACAGGCAACTGCGCGACGATCTCATTCAAACCTACAGGATTGTCAGAGGTCGAGAGTGTGCCCTAGACTTTGATGATTTCTTTGAATTAACCGGGACTGACCGCCTGCGTGGTCATCCCTTCAAACTGCAGAGGAAGCTGGCCCATTCGGACGTCCGACGGAACGCCTTCCCTCACAGGGTCATTGGGGCATGGAACGGACTCCCTGATGTAGTGGTTCTTTCCGAAAGTATCGATTCCTTCAAATGTAGACTAGAGGCTCATTTGTTGAGAAACTACTGTACATAAAAGAACGATTGCTTTAGTGGCGGCAGTTTGCGCCTAGCTCACACTTACCGCTAATTTTTTAACTTTCCGCATTTGCTGATGTAACTGATGACTTTATTTCTGTTTATCGATATGAATAGGGAGCTCAAGGGCCAAAGCCTCATTCCCTTAATAAACTGACTTAAACTGACTTCTTTACCCGGATTGCTTATTTGAATGTGAAGAAAAACAACACACCTGAACAACCCGCTTGGATGGCCTGCTTAGCTGTCGCGCTCTGTTGTCAGGTTACTTAACGTTCAGAATTTCTATATTATTCACCGGTCGATTATACTTGCTGCCTTTAATGCTAAGGGATCGTGCGATATAACTCGTTAGTTCGTGAGAATATTACCATTTACGTCAGATCTATTGAAATGTTTTAGGAACGCCTATAGTCCAGTTAGACTGACGAAGTTCGATTCGATTTCTCTTTCATGTGAATAAATTTGATTCATTCTACGAAAACATTCCGATTTATCCGCAGACGTAACTGTTCGTGGAGGACAAAATTGGTGACGGAATTGTTACCGGGACATCAAAGCCAGCTAGATCCTCGGCCGGCAGGCGTGCTCGGTGTGGAAGTACCGCGGTCTCCATCTTAGCACCAAACGGAAGGTGGGCAAAGCTGCATGATAC